TACGTCGAATAGGCTCCAGCGTCGATTGGTTAGGATGTGATCGATTTCCTTGCGCGTTTCTCCATTTGGACTTTCCCAGGTCCATCGCCGTCCAGTCGGCTTCTCAAACATAGTTTCCGTGATAAAGGCGACATGCAGACAGCAAGTCAAGCAGCCTTTCTCCGTTCTCGTTTCGACTGTTCGTTCCATGGGGCCCGAGTCGCCAATCGCCGTTGTGGTTCGTGCCTATAAGGGCATTGAAGTCACCAACCACATACTTGTAGTAAGTTCTCTCATTCTGAATCGTATCTTCCAGAAGCTGGTAAAATTCTTCGCGTTCTTCGTCAGTGGCGGTGGAGGTGGGTGCATATCCATTGATAATGGATATGGCTCCTTGATCTTTGGTCAGCAAGCGTAGAACAGCGATGCGTGGACTGATGATTTTGTGAGAGTCTACTAGATGGACCACTGCCTGGTTTATGAGAAATCCAACTCCGCCGACATTCTTGCCATCCACCTTGGCTCCAACAATAAGCAGCTCGTTGTGATCGGTTTTCTAATGGTTTCCGTTCTGCCCTTCGTTTCTTGTATAGCGATAACATCGTACTTGATCTGACGACTCCTCAGCAGAAGTGTTCGGAGATCAGCATCCGATGCAATAGTCCGACAATTATACGAGCAGACGAAGAGGCAGTCCTTGTGTCGTTGGGTGGGGGAGTTTCCGGGTTTCCGATTAATCTGATGACGTCCTGATTCCCTGACGAGATTAGATGGCCCCTCATCGGTAGAGGCAACTCCTGACGTCGTAGAAGAGCATATCCGATGTACGCAGGACTGGGGCGCTATTGAAGCTGTTTGAGCAGAAGAAGTGGCTTAGGTTACTCCCTTGTTCCTTGCTAGGGATACAAGAAAGCCGCCCATACACACATTACTGTGCGTACTGCGTAGCCTGAGTTACCGTTTTAGTTTATCGCGGTAAGTCTCTTGAGACTTACCGTGATAAACTAAAACGGTAACTCGGCTACGCAGTACGCACAGTAATGTGTGTATGGGCGGCTTTCTTGTATCCCTAGCAAGGAACAAGGGAGTAACCTAAGCCACTTCTTCTGCTCAAACAGCTTCAATAGCGCCCCAGTCCTGCGTACATCGGATATGCTCTTCTACGACGTCAGGAGTTGCCTCTACCGATGAGGGGCCATCTAATCTCGTCAGGGAATCAGGACGTCATCAGATTAATCGGAAACCCGGAAACTCCCCCACCCAACGACACAAGGACTGCCTCTTCGTCTGCTCGTATAATTGTCGGACTATTGCATCGGATGCTGATCTCCGAACACTTCTGCTGAGGAA